GGGGGCAGTGGTGGGGACATGGGGACATGATGGAGGGGACAGCGAGGGGACAGGGCCATCAGTGTGGGGGGACACAGGGACATCGTGGAGGGGGACAGAGCAACCCGAGTAGTGACAGAGCCTTTGGGGACATGGGGACACAGGGTCCCAATGTGGGAGGGGACATAGGGACATCGTGGGGGGTGGCGAGGGGACACAGTGACCCAGGGGACATTGGTGAGGGGACAGCGAGGGGACACGAGGACGTGGGACAAGGGGACATCGTGGGGGACAAGGGGACATTGCGGGGGGGGAAGACGCGGTGTCCCCATGATGGGAGCCACGTGGGGACAGCGGAGGGGGACGCGGGTGGCACCGGGGGACACCGGTGACACAAGGGCCACCTCCCAGTCCACATCCAGGCCCACCTGGAGGACGAGCTGGTGCAGGAGGCCCTGAAATCGGTGAGCGTCGCGTCCCCCCCGTCGGTGACATCGGTGTCACCTCCCCCTGGTGACATCCCCACATGGGGGTCGGTGACAACATGTTGTCCCCGCAGGGCGTGGACCTACGCGAGTACTCCAAGCAGGTGGAGCTGGAGCTGCAGGAGGTGGAACGGGCCTCCATCCGCGACTGTATCCTTCAGGATTGGGACAACGGGGTGGGACGGGGACACCGCGATGTCACCCGCTTGTCACCCGTCCCCGTGGCCTTATCCGGTGGCGCAGACATCGCCGAGAGCGAGAACATCGCCTCGTTGCACAACCAGATCACAGCTTGTGATGCCATCTTGGAGGTGAGCGGTGGCCTTGGGGACGTCCCCGCGGCGGTGGCCGTGTCCCCAATGTCCCCTCGGCGTTGTCCCCGCAGCGCATGGAGCAGATGCTGGGCGCCTTCCAGTGCGACCTGAGCAGCATCAGCTGCGAGATCCAGACGTTGCAGGAGCAATCGGTGGCCATGAACTTGAGGCTGAAGAACCGCCAGGCCGTGCGGAGCCAACTGAGCCAACTGGTGGACGAGCTGGTGGTGCCGGCCACCATGATCAGGTGGGGACACCGCGGAGGGGACTCTCATGGTGACACCGCTGCGTCCTGACGCTCTCCTTGGCTTTAGCACCATCCTGGAGGTGCCGGTGACGGAGCAGGACTTCATGGAGCAGCTCCACGAGCTCAACAACAAGATCAACTACGTGAAGGAGCAGGCGTTCCGGGAGACCATGGCCTGCGCCGACGTGCAGCACGTCCTGGAGAAGCTCAAGATCAAGGTGAGCTCCTGGTGGCACCGGGGTGGGGGACGGGGACACGCTGAGGCTCCCTGTGCCCTCCCTAGGCCGTCACCAAGATCCGGGAGTTCGTCCTGCAGAAGATCTACTCGTTCCGCAAGCCCATGACCAACTACCAGATCCCGCAGAACGCTCTGCTCAAGTACAGGTGGGTGGTCGTTATGGGGATAGGAGGGTGTCCCGTGGGGCTGGATGTGTCACCGTGTCCCTCCCGGTGTCACCGCGTCCCTCCCGGTGTCACCGCGTCCCTCCGGCAGGTTCTTCTACCAGTTCCTGCTGGGCAACGAGCGGGCCGTGGCGCAGGAGCTGCGGGAGCAGTACGTGGAGACCATGAGCAAGATCTACCTGTCCTACTTCAAGTCCTACACCAGCCGTCTCATGAAGATCCAGGTGGGACCGAGTGGGTGGTGTGGTGGGATGGAACCTTCCGGGTCACTGCTGACCCCCATTTCTGTCCCTATCAGTATGAGGAGGTGGCAGAGAAGGATGATCTCATGGGTGTGGAGGACACGGCCAAGAAAGATATCCTTTGGTGACAGGCACTGGAAGCGTTGGGTTGGGTTGGTTGGGTTGAGTCAGTTGGGTTGGGTTTGTTGTTGGTTGGGTTGGTTCAGTTGGGTTGGAAGGGGTTTGGTTGGGTTTGGTGAGATGGGTTGGTTGGGTTGGGTTGAGTTGGTTGGATTGCTTTGGTTGGGTTGATTGGGTTGGGTTGGTTCAGTTGGGTTTGGGTTGGGAAGAGTTTGGTTGGGTTGGTGGTTTGGGTTAGTAGGGTTGTGTTGAGTTGGGTTGATTGGGTTGAGTTGAGTTAGTTGGATTGGGTTGATTGGGTTGGGTTGGTCGATGGATTGGGTTGATTGGGTTAGTTTGGTGGGTTGGGTTGAGTTGCGTTGGTTGGATTGGGTTGAGTTGGTTGATGGATTGGGTTGATTGGGTTGGGTTGGTAGGGTTCGCTTGAGTTGGTTGGGTTGTGTTGGGTTGCTGGTGTTAGGTTGATTGGAGTGAGTTGAGATAGTTGGGTTGGTTGGATTGGGTTGATTGGGTTGGGTTGGTTGGTGGGTTGGTTTGAGTTGGTTGGATTGGATTGATTGGGTTGGTTGGATTGGGTTGATTGGTTGGGTTGGTGGGGTTGTGTTGAGTTGGATGGGTTGTTTTGGGTTTGGTGTTGGGTTGATTGGAGTGAGTTGAGTTAGTTGGATTGGTTGGTTGGGTTGGGTTGGTTGGTGGGTTGAGTTGGTTGGATTGGGTTGATTGGGTTGGGTTAGTTGGGTTGAGGTGAGTTGGTTTGATTGGGTTGAGTTGATTGGTGGGTTGGGTTGCATTGACTTGGTAGGATTGGGTTGACTGGCTTGAGTTGGTTGGATTGGGTTGGTTGGGTTGAGTTGGTTGGTGGGTTGCGTCGACTTGGTAAGACTGAGTTGATTGGGTTGAGTTGGTTGGATTGGGTTGATTGGGTTGGGTTAGTTGGGTTGGGTTGAGTTGGTTTGATTGGGCTGAGTTGGTTGGTGGGTTGGGTTGAGTTGGTTGGATTGAGTTGGTTGGATTGAGTTGATTAGGTTGAGTTGGTTGGTGGGTTGGGTTGAGCTAGTTGGGTTGAGTTGGTTGGTGGGTTGAGTTGAGTTGACTTGGTAAGATTGAGTTGGGTTGGTTGAGTTGGTTGGATTGAGCTGGTTGGATTGGGTTGGTTAGTGGGTTGGGTTGAGTTGGTTTCATTGGGTTGAGTTGGTTGGTGGGTTGAGTTGAGTTGACTTGGTAAGATTGAGTTGGGTTGGTTGAGTTGGTTGGATTGAGCTGGTTGGATTGGGTTGGTTAGTGGGTTGGGTTGAGTTGGTTTCATTGGGTTGAGTTGGTTGGTGGGTTGAGTTGAGTTGACTTGGTAAGATTGAGTTGGGTTGGTTGAGTTGGTTGGATTGAGCTGGTTGGATTGGGTTGGTTAGTGGGTTGGGTTGAGTTGGTTTCATTGGGTTGAGTTGGTTGGTGGGTTGAGTTGAGTTGACTTGGTAAGATTGAGTTGGGTTGAGTTGGGTTGGTTGAGTAGGTTGGATTGAGCTGGTTGGATTGGGTTGGTTGGTGGGTTGGGTTGAGTTGACTTGGTTGGGTTGGTGCCCCCCACCCCGCTGCTGCCTTGACGGCCCGAGCTCGGCCCACGCTTCTTCTCCAAGCCGTCGCTGAAGAACCGCAACACCATCTTCACGCTGGGCAACCGCGGCGCCGTCATCAGCGCCGCCGAGCTGGAGGGCCCCATCATCGTGCCCCACACGGCGCAGAAGAGCGACGTGCGGGTGGGTGGCCGAGGGGACCGCGTGGGGACCGGGATACGCGGCGCTTCGGGTGACACCCGTCCGCCTGTTGTCAGTACCCCTTCGAGTCGCTGTTCCGCAGCCAACACTACGCCCTGCTGGACAACAGCTGCCGCGAGTACCTCTTCCTGTGCGACTTCTTCATGGTGACGGGGCCCAGCGCCCAGGACCTCTTCAACGCCGTCATGGGCAAGACGTTGGCCATGTTCGTGGTGAGCGGGGCGGCCGCGGGGACGCCGCGGGGACGCCGTGGGGTGGCCCTGATGTCCCCGCTTTGTCCCCTGTATAGAAACACATGGAGTCCTACGTGTCCGACTGTTACGACAGCATCGCCGTCTTCCTCTGCATCCACATCGTGCTGCGTTTCCGGGCCATCATGGCCAAGCGCAACATCCCCGCCGTGGACAAGTGAGTCCGGGACACCGAGATGTCCCCAAAGGGTGGTAGGACCAGGTGGGGACCCAAGCTCGACCGTTGTAGATACTGGGAGACGCTCTTGGAGACCCTGTGGCCCCGTTTCGAGCACATCCTGGAGCAGAACATCCAGAGCATCCAGAACACGGACCCGCAGAAGCTGGGCTTCCTCGACACGCGGCCCCACTACGTACGTGGGGACGTTGGGGGGACACGGGGTGACGCGGGGCCACCTCACGCGTCGCCGTCCCCCAGATCACCCGGCGCTACGCCGAGTTCTCCTCGGCCATCGTGAGCATCAACCAGACCTTCCCCAACGAGAAGACCCACGCGCTGCTGGGGCAGCTGCAGGTGAGGGGACCAGGCATGGAGGTGACACGGTGACGCCCTTGGGTGACACGCGGTGACATCCCGTCCCACCCAGGTGGAGGTGGAGAACTTCGTGCTGCGGGTGGCGGCCGAGTTCTCCTCGCGCAAGGAGCAGCTCATCTTCCTCATCAACAACTACGACATGATGTTGGGCGTCCTCATGGTAAGGAGCGCCCAGGACAAGGGGGACACCCCCGGGGAGGTGTCACCCGCACCCGGTGACACCTCGTGGTCCTCCCCAACCCCTTCCTGATCCTGGTGGTGTCTCCCCAAGGAGCGAGCGGTGGAGGAGAGCAAGGAGGTGGAGGGCTTCCAGCAGCTGCTCTCGGCGCGCACCCAGGTTTGGGGTCCCACGGGTTGGCCGGGTGACACCCAAGTGGACACGGGGACACATGGGGTGGACACGGGGACACCAGGGATGTCCCCACGTCCCCTCTTTTGCCCTAGGAGTTCATCGAGGAGATCCTCTCGCCGCCCTTCGGAGGGATGATCGCCTTCGTCAAGGAGGCCGAGGCGCTGGTGGAGAAGGGACAGCTGGAGCGGCTGCGCGGCGAGGAGGGTGAGCGGCGCCCGGGGGGACCACCCGGGTGTCACCAACCGCGTGTCACCACCCCCCGACGTCTCCCATCGCAGCCCGGGTGACCCAGCTCGTCCGCGGCTTCTCCAGCACCTGGAAGGCCGCCGTAGAGGCGCTCAGCCAGGACGTCATGAGATCCTTCAGCAACTTCAAGAACGGCACCGGCATCATCCAGGTGACACCATGGGGGACACTCGGGTGTCCCTCACCGAGGTCTCGGGCCCGGTGCCACCTTCTCCGTCCCCGCAGGGCGCCCTCACGCAGCTCATCCAGTACTACCACCGGTTCCACAAGGTGCTGGCGCAGCCGCCGCTGCGCGCGCTGCCCGTCCGCGCCGAGCTCATCAACATCCACCACCTCATGGTGGAGCTCAAGAAGCACAAGCCCAACTTCTAGAGCGTCCCCAAGAGTGTCCCCACCGTGGCGTTCCAGTAAAGGTCCCATTGGCAACGCTGTTTTGGTGGAGCCCGACTGTGGGGTGGTGACGGGGACGGGGTTGAGGGGACCTATGAGCGCCATGGAGCTCTGGCCACCTCCTCATGATGGTGGTGGTGACGGGGACAGGGTTGATGGCACCTACGAGCGCTATGGAGCTCTGGCCACCTCCTCATGATGATGGTGGTGACGGGGACAGGGTTGAGGGGACCTATGAGCGTGATGGAGCTCTGGCCACCTCCTCATGATGATGGTGGTGACGGGGACAGGGTTGAGGGGACCTATGAGTGGCCATATGTGGCCACATGGGGGGACATGGGACACCCATGGGTGACCGTTGGTGACCGTTGCCACCCACCGGGTGGCCGGACCCTCCCGTGTCCTTGGGTGACCCTTGGGCACAACCCTCCATTCCGCGTCCCCCAGGTGACATCACCCCCCCTTTAGGTGACCGTTATCCAGGGCCACCCCTCCCTGGTGGCCCTTGGCGCTGCCGTCCCCTTAGCCCTTCCCTTTTCCCTCCCCTCAGCCCTTCCCGCCCTTTTCCCACCTTTTTCCATCCCTTTTCCCACCTTTTTCCCACCCTCTTCCCTCCCCTTTTCCTCCCCCTTCCCGCCCTTTTCCCACCTTTTTCCTGCCCTCTTCCCCCTCTTCCCGCTCTCTTCCCTCCCCTTTCCTGCCCTTTTCCCTCCCCTTTCCCACCTTCTCTCCCCCCTTTTCCTCCCTTTTCCCTCCCCTTTCCCACCCTCTTCCCTTTCTCCTCCCCCTTTTCCTGCCCTTTTCTCTTCCTTTTCCCTTCCCTCCTCTTTCCTGCCCTCGCCCCGCCCCTTTCCCGCCCTTTTCGCTTCCTTTTCCCTCCCCTTTTCCCGCCCTTTTCCCTTCCTTTTCCCTCCCCTCACCCCTTTCCTTTTCCCCTCCCCTTTCCCGCCCTCTCCCCT